CCTAGTAGCTTCTTGTTACTACTAGTAAGGCACTTGTTACTAGAAGCGATGCACTGGTTCCTAGTAGCTTCTAGTTACTACTAGTAAGGCACTTGTTACTAGAAGCGATGCACTGGTTCCTAGTAGCTTCTTGTTACTACTAGTAAGGCACTTGTTACAATAACCTGTCATTGTTTCTTTTCCGGCCCTGCGAGGCGGACCGTGCCCGTGAGAAGGCGGATCGGCCGGATGCATCGGAGGAGCTCCGGCGGAAGATGCGGCTGGCGCAGCTTGAGTTCTCCAAGTTCCTCGCAGACCTCATCAAGGCGTTCTTCGTTCTTTGTATTTTGTTTCAACGATTCATTAGGATGTATATTGCGTTTCAAGAAGACGCAGGCGCAGGCAAGAAGATAACGCTTCACTTTGGCAAATTCGTGAATAACTCACAAGATTCATGACGTAATCTGCCTTTCTGTCACGGCCCTGGCTTACGGATTTTTGAAGAAAGAACATGTGGGCAGAACCCGAGTGTCCTGCGAGCGGTCGAGGATGTGTGGCGACGGCAACCAAACGTGTCCAGCGTGTGATAGGAGGAACGCAAACGTTGCAGCCAGTTTGTTCTCCTATCGTGGAGGCCATCGCTATTAGTAACTCAAAAGAAGATTGTTTTTTGGAGCAGAGAAGCAATCGGTAGGAGAGCAGTAGCTTATAGAGGGCGAGAGCAGCCAGGCATACCACAGCAAATATGGTTACCTGAACAAGGGAAGATTTAGCCAAGGGCCAAATCAAGAAAACACTCTCGGGTTGAATTAAGAACGGCCAAAGCAAGGGCACTACTAGGAACTAGGAACGGTCTTTGAAGCTAGTAACAACGACGATTTAAGAAACACTCTCTGAACAAACACGCTCTTGATGGCCAACTCCACCAATTTGTTAACGGATGCGTGCCAAAGCTCGCTTAGCTCGCTTGTGTTAAAACTCGAAACCGCGCAGTTAAGCCGTTTCTTTCGGAGAACAGACTTTTCTTTCTTTGTCACATTTGAGCTGACTTTTGAACTCGCTAAACAACACCCTTAAACTCTTTTTCCCCAAACAGTTTACTGTTGGGGTTCTATCTTAGAAAAAAAGAGCTGGCCACACTCACTGGCCGCGCCCCTGAACTCTGTGGCTGGTCTCTGTGGCCCGGTTTACTGGAGAGGAGTGTGGCCGAACAAATAGCGATGTCAATGCCGACAAAAATTCATGGATGAAGCAGTTTGCTCTTGGGGTGAAGGTAGGGCGTACCAAGAAATCGATTTTTGACTAATATTGGTCTAAGCGAATCGTTTTGAAGCTGTTTGGGGTCTATGCTTGTATAGTTTAATTGTAATAGCTTTTTGTTACTACTAGTAAGGCACCTGCTACTACTAGCGTGGCACTTGTTACTAGTTTTGAACACTGCGTTTTGGACGCCTGACTTGCCAGGCCTTTTGGGACTGCGAGCTGAGCTTCGCGTTGGCACCTCGAGACCCGACTCGACTGAATCAACTCTCAAGCGAGCACTTGTTACTAGAAGCGATGCACTGGTTCCTAGTAGCTTCTTGTT